AGAGACAGAGACATAGAGACACACACACATGCAGGGAGACAGGGAGAAAGGGGGACAGAGAAAGAGAGACAGACACAGTGAGAGAGACAGAGACAGGGAGAGAGAGCAAGTGAGAGAGAGCGCGCACGAGTGAGCTAGAAAAGAAGGGGCTGGGGAGCAAATATGGCCCCCAGGTCACAGACCCAGGACACACTTACTCCCAATAGTCTCCACCCTACTTTTAATCACTCCCCATAGTGCCTCTTCTCTGGGCCATAGTAATGACAGGGATTTTGTGGAAGAATGGCTCTTGCTAGGGTGCCTGCAGAGAGCCTTATGTTTGGAAGGGAACCCCTTAACTTAGCCAATTTATAAGAAGAGGTGGCACCACATACTTTTCCTGGGGTGGTAGCTGTGACTCCCCCAAGCCTACAGCCAGGGATTTAAAGAATAGTTAAGACGAGCTAAGCAGGGTGGTGTGCACCTTGATCCCAACATTCGAGGCTGAGGTAGAGGGATCCCAAGTTTAAGTCCAGCTTGAGCAACTTAGTAAGATACTACTGAAAAAAAATTGGGCATGGGTTTGGGGATATTGCCCAGTGCAAAGGCCTTGGTTCAGTCCCCATCCTGGGGACAGGAACCCACAGTGTAGCAGGGTTGGGGCCTCAGAGAAGGCCTGTGGTAGATGAGTGGCCTCACCCAGGAGCAGCGTCCATTGAGGGCACAGGGTTCTAGGAAGGTAACTGTGGTAGGTCACCAGCATGGGCCAGGATGAAAAATTAAAAAGTGGTAAAGTGTGTACCTGTTACAGTTTATTTCAGTACAGCCTGTGTTCCATATCCATGAGTTCCACATTAATGGCTTCAACCAACTCTGGATCAAAAATTGTCGGGAAAAAAGTGATTGGTGCTAAGCATGCACAGACTTTCTTGCTGTGTAGCAGCTGCTTACCTAGTACTTATGCCATATTAAATGTACGTAATGCAGATGGCGTAAGCTCTTTGGATGGACGTAGACAGGTTCTGTGCAGATACTCTGCCATTTGGTATAAGCGGGGTGCCAGCTGGGCTTTGGTGTCTAGGAGTCCTCCAACCAATGCTCTGGCTACAGAGTCCACTGTGTGTTTGATCTAATTTGTACAATTTTGAAAGCGTGATACTTTCACCCTACTCTATGTCCAGGGGACAAGTTCAGAACAAATTCTCTGAAGTTTGGAAAATGACATCCAGGGCCCAGCCAGGATATAGTCCTGAGACAAGACTGTCCTGGGATTTGTGCTATTTCCCTTCACTATTTTTTGGGTCATTTTGCTTATATTTCCACCAGACTGTTCAGCTGGAGCAGGAATGAGGTTGGTCCTAAGGAGACTGAGCAGCCCTAACATGAAAACCTGGCCCCAGGCTGGGTGCACATTTCTGTTTCCTCATTTTGACCCTCTCCACCAGTGGCAAGCTGCAGGCTTCACAGCAGATTGCAGGAAGGGAGGAAACCTTGCATTCAGTGCATGACCTCTCCTGGGCCCGGTGATGCTGGTCATGGGAAGCCGAGCGTGGTGTGGACAGGAACAGGGCAGGTGTGCACAGCCCAAGGCTGGGGTGCCCTTCCTGGACTGCAGAGGACCACAGGACATGGTGGAGAAACTGGGGAGCGGAGGTGGCCTTGGAGGGTCCGGATCAGTGGTCATGACTTAGAGAGTAACTGTCCTTAGCAAATCATTAATGTTTCTTTCCCAAAGACATTTCTTTCTGCTTGAAAAACTTGTTAAGTGTGTGGTGACCCACAGTAGAGTTCCTAGCACTTCTCTGTGTCCCAGGCCCCGATCCAAGGGTGCCGTTCACATTGTAGACCTCTGGGGGGGGGGGTGCAGACACACTATGGTCCCTGCTGTCCCTTCCCAGAGTCACTTGCTCTAATATCAGACTCTCAGGAAGGCTCTGCACCTGTGATCTCTGTCCTGCCTGTGTCCAGACCAACCTTCTCAATTCAGCGTCATGCTCCAGAGTTTCCTACTGGCCCTCCTCCTCCTCACCTGGGATGATTCCTCTTGCCAGATGGTCCTCCACAAGGGGAAGAGCGTAGCACCATGAGAGTGCGTTTCCAGGAGATGGAAGGGAGCCGTGTTGAGGTGTCATGTAGCAGACACCTACTTTGGATTGGCTTCTTCCCTCCCTTAACACAACAGGGAGCTCCTGCCGCCTACAGTGTAGACATAGGGGTTGGAGAGCAGCCTGAGCTTGGTCTCAGGGAACTTAATATCTAGGCAGGGGTGAGATTGGGCAGGTCGTTGGCCAAATCTTCTGTTATAAGCTCTGGTAAGTCTGTGAAGCTACTGTGCAGGGGTCCAGGAAAGCTGATGTCAGATGCATGTTTGTGTGTCATGTCTAGTCATGTCCACAGGTGCGCCTAGTGGGGAGGAGGGTAGGCAGGCTGCGACTAAGAGCTGCAGGGCAGGTGGAAGCTGGGAGGGTAGAGCCCTCTGGGGGAGCACGGGTTCTGAGAGCTATGAGAGGGACCCTGCTAGTGACATACAGTATCAGTTGCAAAACGTGAGATCCCTCCTAACTGAGGCTGGGGCCTCCTTTCTTCCATCTGCCTGCTCCCCTCTCCTTCCTTGCACCTCTGCCTCCGTGTATTGCAACCCTCTCGCCCCCCCTTCTTCCCCGTCATCAGTGGATGTTTGGAGCCAGAACAAGAATGTGGGTTTCTGTCTCTGGTCCGGGGATGGAGATGTTTTGATTGAGACGGGTTCTCATTATTGTTTCAGGCTGGCCTCATACCTGCAGAAATCCTTCTGCCCTCCGCCTCCCCAGTGCTGGGGTTACAGGGGTTCACCACCACGTCTGGCCCTGGGGTAGCTTTTGAAGACGCTGCCTTCACATCCTACTTCCACATACCACTCTTGTTCATGGCTTTCTGCTCTCAGAGTTGAATTACAAATTACTCAACTTGAACCAGCCTGTTGTTGAGCAAATAAGGCAGTTCCCTTACCTGCCTGCTCCCTGAGATAAAGAGTGGACACCCAGGAAGAGGGACTTCCACTGCAGCTACTCTGAGGAGACTGTTAACTGGACATGGGCTCCTAGAAGTGTGTAGTTGCGTGAGGAAGGCCAGTGAAATGGATGGATTCTGTTTAGTTAGGGCAGCTCCTGTGGCCAGTTTGTATCATAGTGAGAATTTCATCCAGTCGTGAGTGCCCCTGGACTCCCACTTTAATGACTTCTTGGGGTAAAAACATTTAAAAACTGTCTTATGCAAATATACCCGCTCTTTGGTATTCGTGGTGGGATGGAGGCTCTCTTCATATGGCACAGTATTTATGTAAGAGCCATGCAATTGTCCTGACTTTAAATTATCTCTAATTTTCTTTAATTAAATTAATTAATTATTTTTTTTGGGCGGAACTGGGGATTGAACTCAGACAATTGTGCTTGCCAGGGAAGCGCTTATTCCACTGAGCTATCTCCCCGGCCCTCAGTATTTAAGCATTCCTGGAAGTTGAAAATGTGCACCCTTATGGAGGTGCCGGGGATCGAACCCGGGGCCTCATGCATGCAAAAAGCACGTGCTCTACCACTGAGCTACACCCCCACGCTCCTAATTTTAATACTGAATACAGCAAGAATGCTATGTAACTGACATACTGTATTGCTTAGGGAATAATGACAAAAGATTTATGTGTTTAATTCAGATGCAGTTAAAATGGTTCATCTAAGCTGGTTGAATTGGGCTGTGGACATAGCACATGGGGAGGTTAACAGCATTATTTCACTTAACTCTGCACAAACACCCTGCGAAGTGGGTACTGTGGGTCTTATTTTTAGGGCGTAGAACTGAGGCTCAGAGGCTGCATTTGTGGTCTGACATTGCTGAGTGGTCAGTGCTATCCCTGGAACCCTGTCTTAGCTTGAGCACTTGGCTCTTAGCATGACCTTCTTCCTGCATTAGGGAGAAAGTCAGGGTCTCATGCAGCCCAGCCCGCCCTCATGAGCTCACACTCAGGCCCCATGACCTCATGGAGACAGTGCACTTCTTCAAAGGACCCTTGGACATAGCTTGTGGTCATTTAATAACTTGAATCTGGAATCTCTACGGCTAAAGTCCAAGCTCTTGGATGTGTTACTTTGGTGTGTCTACTTTGGAAATGGTTAACCATTGCATTTCACAGCCTGTGACCCAGAATGTACAGCCAGTGGAAGAATTCAGGCCTTAAAATTCTCCCTCTTCCTTTCCAGGTTGCCCCCCTACCTGGTCTCCCTCTTCATCAGTCTCGTTTTCCTGGTGGTGAACTTGACCTGTGCTGTGCTGGTGAAGACAGGAAATTGGGATAGGAAGGTCATCGTCTCCGTGCGGGTGGCCATTAATGACACACTCTTCGTGCTGTGTGCTGTCTCACTCTCCATCTGTCTCTACAAGATCTCAAAGATGTCCTTAGCCAGCATTTACTTGGAATCTAAGGTAGGGTGGGGATGAGTTCAGATCCCTCCCATGAAGCTTGATTTTAAAACAGGTGTCTGGTTTGCACACAGGAGAGACAAATCTTTTTTGTACCTGTCCTTTAGCAAATGCTACACGGTGGTCACTAGGACATAGGGGTGTGTACTGCTCTGAACTTTGTGTGTAAGAATTGTGTGTGCAGGATCATTGGCAGAGTCCAGTCTTTGGTTTATAGTTAATTTAACTACATTTTAAAGGACTAATGCGATTGACTGTACCAACAACACTAACAGCAAACACATCATCTAGTGTGGTGTCCCTGCCACATTGACAAGCACTTTGTGTACACACCTGATGTTGTTCTTATAGAGCTGAGTTAGGTAGTATTATAATCCCCATTCTATAGGGAAACTGAGGCACAGAGAGCTCGCATTGCTCACCCTAGGCCATGCAGCTAGCAGTACAAAGCTGAGCCACACCTGGCAGGGTCTCTGGCCTTCACCATCTTCTTGTGCCGCTTTGGAGACTCAGAATCAGGCTCACATTTGGGAGCTGTACCCTTGAGCAGCTTCTCCTTGTGGCAGGAAGTGGGGTTCAGGAGGCTGTCCTTCCTGTAGGCAGTTCAAAGTCTGAGCCACATGTGGGTAGGAGGGAAGCTCCTGGCCTTTCTTCCACGCTGATCGCACCCTCAGCTGTGTCCTGCTTTCCTGAATCCAGGGCTGTAAAGGGCAAACAGGCAGATGTGGTGTGGTAGGCAAGTGCATCTGGTCAGCCAGGTCCTCCAAATGCCTGAGCCTGCAGGCCTGGTGCGCACCAGGGCCAGGGCTGGCTGGGGACTCTGCCCTGCCACTTGGCCTCTGTGGACCTGGGTTCTCTCACTAAATGGTTGAGTGATCTGCCCAGCTCCCCTGCTTCTGAGACACAGTGCCTGTGGGCCTTGTGGAGGGTCTGCTGCCCACTTGCTTCCCGTAGGGCTCATTTGATTGTAATGTTTTTGGTCTCAAATGACAGCTTTGTCTCCTACAGTATTGTGTCTTCAAAGGTGATCAGCAGACTAAGTCTGTACTTTGAACTTTGACCTTACAGAGTATCTTGAGAGTTAGCTAGATTCTAGCAAAGCCTGCAAGTTACTGTGACAAAATAGTTTTTTTTCTTTTACAAAGTAATTTTCATTGATAGATTTTGTTGTATTTTGGACTTGATTTTGCTTAACTTTCTCTGTTATTTTATGTCCCACATAAGGGCTAATTAAAGCACTTAAAAACACTACTCTTCAATGGAATGGGTTAACTTGTACACTGTTACAGTGCCATTTTGCTCACCTTGGTGGTTTACAAGCCAACAAAGGTGCTGGTGAACTGAAATGGTATTCTTGCATTTAGTGACTTCTAAATACAAAACTCAGTTTTAGTTTTTTTGGTCATGTTAACCATGTTTCTAACTAGAGGTTCTATAACTGGCCTGAGAAGTTGATAGCTTCATAGAGTGGAGTGTGGGTCATGGATTCCCATGTAATTCCACTCAGAATCCCGTCAGAACTCATGCTGGTTCCTCCTGAGTAGCTGTAGGTTTTGAGAAAGAGTACATTCTAGCACACTGTGCAGTGCCTCCTCTCTTAGCCCTGTCCCTCAGAGACTGTTGGTGTGTCCCCTGAGCCAGAGGGTGGCCTGGGCTCACCTGCTGTGCCTCTTGGCTGGCAGGATCTTGGAACCGAGCATGTCAGGAGATGTAACAGCTCAAGCTACTCTCACTTTCTAGGCTTGAGAGGTCTGCAGAGACTGCACTGTCAGAGCCATCAGACATCTTGAAATCTGAAGTTGCACAAAGGTGCCAAGGATAGTTTTAGGCCTAGGGTAGAAGGTTCTGAGAGCTCATGTGCTCTGAGCACCTCTGAAATCCCCCAAGGGCTCCTAGGTGACCTTAGGTGAGGAACGCGCAAGGGGCCAGTGCCCTGGACCTGCCGTGACCCACCCTGCTGCTCTTTATTTATTTATTTATTTATTTATTTATTTATTTGTGTGTGTGTGTGTGTGTGTGTGTGTGGCCAGCTCAGCCCACCAGGAGGCGGGGCGGGCTGGCATGTGGTGCTGGGGGATTGAACTGCGGTCCCTGTGCTTTGCTAAGCTTGTTCTAAGTAGGTGCTTTAGACCACTGAGCCATCTCACCAGCCCCCTGCTGCTTTTTTTTCTTACAGGGTTCCTCTGTGTGCCAAGTGACTGCCATCGGAGTCACCGTCATCCTGCTGTACACCTCCCGGGCCTGCTACAACCTGTTCATCTTGTCCTTTTCTCAGATCAAGAACGTCCACTCCTTTGATTATGACTGGTACAATGTATCAGACCAGGTCAGTGTAGGTACCTCAAGGTGTCACTGGGATGGGCACCCCTTGCTGTGTGACACTTTGTGTGGCTTTGTTTCTGCTGCTGAATAGCTGGGTGACCTTGAGCAGCGCCTCCAGTGTGTGGTGTGTACCGTCTTGTCAGGTGGGACCAACGCACTGTGTTCTTGCTTACATCTCCTGAGAATCCTGGATTGGAGATGTATGCAGACATAGAAACCTGCACGTGTGTGCACATGTAAGCCACGCCTCCTTTCCACATCATGGGATTCTTACCAAACAGTATTTAAACTTTTGTTTTTTAAATGCTTCCTTATAAATGTAAGGCGGTATTATTAAAGGGTAAATTTTGCAAAGGTAAGTTGTATTCAGGTGGGAGAAAATGTGTAAAACTATGAAATAGGAGATTTTTAATGCAGCACAGTATTGGGGTAAACCCATACCAGAGTGACTACAGTTTTTAGGGTTTAATAAACCCTCACTGCACCAGTTGTCTCAATAGGATTCTTCCTGTCTACCCTAAATACATCATAGAAGTCCGTAAATTACCAACTGTAAAGCAAGTGAACAAAAGGAGGTTCTTCATAAAAGCTCAAAAAATTTTATTTGATACCAATTATTGAATGTCAGACACTCCCAAGTTCTGGGGATATAGAAAATGGAGAGACTCTTTTGTCCCTCTCTGTTGGGGTTTTTGCTACACTGAGGCAGAGACAGGCAGACCATTCCAGCAGAGAAATGTACCTTTTTTCTAGTAGATTGATTTGTGCAGGCACTGCCTTCAGCTTTCCCTGGAAAAACTAAATTCTCAACTGTATAAAAACTTACTTCTAAAATTACAGTAGTGCTCAGAACTTGAGCTGAATCAAGGCAATAGGAGAAGGAATCAAATGACCACAGTGAGGTGAAGTGGAGGACATGGTGACTTCCCAAGAGTCACAGGCAGGGGGAGGACCAAACACTGCAGTGGCCCCAGCCCCATGCCAGTGCAGGCCAGGGAAAGCTGGGCAAGGCCTGCCCGATGAAAAGCACACATATATAGAAAACTTTCAACTTTAAATAGCAGCCTGCCAGAGGCAGCTCCATAGTGCACAGCATTTTTAAATTATCATAGGCTATACGTAAGATTTACTATGTTACTCATAATACATGTGTGATTCAGTCGTGTTAAATACAATCACAGTGTTGTGCACCCTCATCACCATCCACCTCTAGACCTCTTCCATCTGCTCTATCAAATGATTTGGTCTTAACAAAATAATCATTTCTATTTCTTTTAATAGCGATATGACAGCCATGGATGTAGAGTAGGATCAGTTTTAGAATTCTTTTGTTTTAACTGGACATATGTAACTATCTAGATCTCTGTTACCACTAATTGAGGAGCAAACAGGACAGATGGCCACAGGTGCACAGGGGCAGTAGTACAGGTGAAGTGTGGGACCTGAAGTGTGAGGGGTCATGTGGAGAAGGGGAAATGGAGTCGGGCTCCTGCACTTTCACTGTGATATAATACAAGGCAAAATTAAGTGTAGGGGATGGACCCTCCGTGGCGTGGTTTTGCTCCATGCCTTTTTTAATGAATGCTTGTTGTTTCTGAGGTGTGCCCACACGCATCTGCTGAAGAGAGAAGACTGTGAGCAGGCCTCTTTGCCATCTTCTTGAGCAGGAAGCCAAGCGCTCAGGGCTCTGAGGACTTTTTCTAGACAAATTAACCAACAACAGGCTTAAAGGTGGAAGGGCAAGATGCAGTTTATATGAAGAATAGTTTACAACTGGTCGTGTGCTGTGGGGAAACTCTTAGAGTGTTTAGTTG